CACACACTCACACACACACACACACAGCATTCCGAAATTGCATTCAGTGTGGCCACTGGATCTGCCTAGGATTTAGTGCCAGGATTATTACAGTGTCTGTGGAGTATTAGCCATTGGGCCTGCTCTTGCTCTGTCCCTCTCTCTGCACCCAGAATGCTTATCCTTCCTGTGGTTTGGTGCTGGCTGGGCCAGATCTTGGCTCAGAGCAACAGCTTCAGTGGTTTCTGGATGGTTGTGAAATGGAATCTCTCATAGGCTAAGGGAATAGGAAACTTTACCTAGATCAAAAAGGGCGGCTTTTCTCCTTTGCTGTGGTTGAGAGTATCCAGGATAAAGTCAGGCTACATGGAGGAAGGTGGGAGATAATACTGTCAGACATAACCCTCCAACCTTTCTCCATAGTGTTTCTCTTGTTGAAATTGATGACAAGAGTCATCTAGAAATTGCCTGCACATTCTTGCTGTAGGATACTTTTGGAATCTTTGAAGCAGAATATGTTTTGTTTTTGTAAGAAGAGCTAGAACCCTGAGAAGGCTCTGGTAGCATATAGTCCAGAGGGAATTGTGCCATTAACCTTAACAGTCCTACTTCTCTGACAGAATCTTCCAGCTGCTCTGCAGGAGAAAGACAGGCAATCTCTGTGTGATTTACAGCCTCAGAAACCCAGCAGAGAGTCAGCTGTGAATTTATAGTAATGAGTAGTAAATAAGGAGCCTGGTGTTGTGTTAGGCTTCTAACTGAAAGTTTGGTGGTTCTATGCACTAGCCGCTTTGGGGAAGAGAGATGAGGCTCCTCCAGTAAAATTCTGTAGCCTCAAAACCCCAGTGGAGGGTTGCCATGAGTGGAAAATGACTCAATGGTAATGCCTTTTAAAGGTGTAGGGGGCCAATAGGGAGCAACGCCAGGAAATATTTCTTCCACTCCTCCATAGGATGTGGTAGAGGCAACATTTTGAGGATTTTGTTGTTGTTGCTCATTTTCCTTTTTATGTTTGGGAAATTTAGTGTCATGTAATCAACCCTGGAAAAGGGATCAGAATTCCCAGCACTTACACTCTCTGGTCATCAGAGTCCTTTCTAAATGAGGAGGTTGCACGAGTGATCCCTAAGTTATCGTCCAGCTCCAACACTCTTTGAGTTTATGACTCTCTAAAGCCCTACCTGTCATGCTCTCTGTAAAGGTGGAGAGGAGATGGAGTCAGAGTGGACCTATGGAACATTCCTGCTTTGGAACTGGATAGAAACACAGAGGAGAGGGCTACTGGCACACGGGAGGGGATGGGATTGCAGGGTTTGCCAGATCTGCCCTGTGTCTGGCCATCTCAGTGTCCTCTCCACAAGGAGGAGCCAGAGGTGCCAAGTCACTGACCACTAACCCAGTGCCCAGACCAAAGGTCCCATTTTGTTTTGGCCCAACTGGGACTATCTTGGAACAGTGCATCAGTTGGGGCTTTTCTCTCCTCAGCTTCCTGGCTTCTTGCATGCAGTTGAGGTCCACACACACACACACACACACACACATAAGAGAGGCTTTCCCAGAATTCTTTTGAGTTCCCCACTACTCTCACGAGGGAGGACTGTAGGGGAAAATGTTTACACCCAATGCATTATCTGGTGGTCCTGTTCCTCACCCTACTAAGTCCAATACCAGCTAGCTGGATTTTGCAATGATTTCCCCCCTCCCACATTTCAATCCTTTTCCCTACTTACTCTTCTTTCCTTTTGAATTCCGTGTGCACAAGGTTCTCAGGCCCCAGCTCTGGGTGGGTCCCAATAGCGGCTCCCTCTGCTCCCATATCCTCTCTCCAGCTTTGCTGTGTTTCTCTGCTACCTAATCTCAGTGACTGTGAAAGGACATTGTGTCTGAGCCATGGCTGGCCCCGGCTGGCCCCAACCCACCCCTTTCTACTGTGCAGATGGTGGTCTCCCTGATGATTGATTGACTGACTGTACAATCTGAGTTTCCTGGTGGGAGGCTGTGATAGATTCCAATGATTTGCCACTTTCTTTAGTAAGCAAAGAGATTGGTGGCCATAGGGCCAATTCTGGCAGAGGCCAGGTCTGTTGAAGTCTTTTATTATGGCCCCCAAACCACCCCTGAATATAATTTTTTTTCAAATATTTGGTGCAAGCACTTTATGCCCCATGCCAGTCTCTTCCTTCTGGGTGTGTTTTTATGGGATTTTTTTTTTAATTTGCTAGGAACTCTAGTGGCCTACTGGTAAGGAGATGTGCTGTCAGCCCAAAGGCACATGGTTGCTCTGCTCCACAGCTGCTCTGTGGGAGAAAGATGGGCAACACCCTCCTATGTTATTACTGCCTCTAAAAACCTGCTGAAGGGTCAGCTATGAGTTGGTTCTGACTCCACGGTACCTAAGGAGCCTTGGTGGCATAATACATTAAGCATTGAACTGTTATCACAATGTTCAATGGTTTGAACCCACTAGTTTGCACCCACAAAGACTGACAGCCTTGGAAACCCAATGGGGCAATTCTGCCTTGTCCTACAGAGTTACTAGGAGTCAGAATAGACTCAATAGCAATTGGTTTTCTGGTTTCACTTGCTCCCCTTACCCCATTCATAACAAGAAATGACCCTGAAGGCTCTTATTTCTTATTTTTAGGGGCATCTGTTATTCAGGGTTTGAACCTGAGATCTGTGGGTCTAGCAATCAGATGGTGCCCTCTCACCTGAGGTTTATGCCCACTGATGGTTCGCAGAACAGACACTGGGTTGAGATTCTAGTTCTACCTACCCCCATCATTTAAGCAAGCAAGGCATCCCCCTGTGTGAGCCTCCAAGTCCTTACCTGTTCTAAAAAGGAGTTGGACTAGACTGTAAGGGTTTCTGCCATTTTAAACATGGTTTTTCTGTGGAAAGAGAGCTGGCTGGCAGCTAGAGCCTAGAAGAAGGGGAAAGTTGCACCTCACTAGCATCTATTACAGTTCCCCCCCCCACTCTCCTCTTTTTAAAAATAAAACCAGACTCTGTTCTGAAAATAAAAAACTTGAGACTTGTGACAAGCTTCCTGTGTGATTTGTTTTAAAATCTTTCCTGTCCTGGTTTCCTTACAAAATTCTTAAATGCTACTGTGACATTCACCATAGGTCTGTATTTCTGTATTAATATTGTGAACATGCCTTGACCACTCCTTTCTAAGCAGCTGCTATGTTATTCAGGGAGGCACTGTGTCCCTGGCCTTGACCAGGTGGGTGTCCAGTCAAGGTTTCTGTAGCATGGTCAACTTAGATCTCTCAGTCTAAGAGTGATCCTCATTTACCTTTACCCTGGGTTCACTTTCACTCTCACTTCTTTCCAAGAAGACTTTACTAAAAACAGGAAACCTTTGGGATACTAATTTTTAAGTTTTTTTACCTTCTTTATTATCCTTGCCATAGCCAGAAGTACACATCCTATGTCTGAGCAAAAGGAAAAAGGCCATGCTTATAATTATTTTTCAAACACAAAAGGGACTTATTATGTCTAAGGCACAGCATTTGGATGTGAACCAAAATAAAATTATAGTGTTTACTTTTAGCCCAGAGACAGCCAGTACTATTCAAATGGCTTTGTGCTAAAGTTTGGTGCATCTGCCCATTCTAGAGGCTCCACAGGGGTCTGACCTAGTGGAGTCATTGTGGTTGCTAGGTGACATGGAGTCAGTTCCAATTCATAGCGCCCCCTTGTGACAGAACAGAACTGCTCCATTGAGTTTTCTTGGATGTAATATTTAACAGAAGGTTATCAGGTCTTTCTTTCACCAAGCTACTGAGTGGGTTTGAACCACCAACCTTTCGGCTAACAGTTAAGCACCTAACCACCGCATCCCTAGGACTTCTGGACTTCGTAGAACAAGCGAGACACATTCACAGAATGAGAAGAGCCCAAGAGTTTGGGCTTTGTTCTGCTTCTGACTAGCTGTGTGGTTTTGTACAATCACCTGACCGCCAATACTTTTTGTATCATTTATAAAACAGGAGTAATAGTACCTGCCTCACAGTGCTGTGACAAGCACTGAATGAGGGGACATATGCAAAAACTAGGTCTTATCTTCAAGACTCTTATATAAATGTTTCTAAATTTTTTAAGCTTTAGCAAGGTAGCTCTCACCTATTTTGGTCAGCTGGTGCATACCTGGCGGCACTTTGTAAAAGGTGATG